CTTTATAAAGTGCACAAATAGTACTACAATTTCTTTTAAATTAAGGGAATTTCCCTTAACACCAAAGACAACATCCTTTTCATTTTTGTATTCACAATATCTAGCTATGTCAAGCATTCCATGAATGTTAACACTGCCCAAAGAAATTTTAAATACAATATTTCATAATCTAATTTCAATTTATTCATACCTATTCAATAAATTGGCTCCCTGAAAATCACTACCACAAACACTTTAACTTATGTTTGCCCTGATTCTCTTTAATGGACATTTGTTTTTAAATTTTATTAGCACATTTTGGATACACATAATGATCACATTCATCATAAGGAATTCAAACCTGTACATAATAGATCTTGATTCTTCTTTTTCCCCAATCCTCTTCCCTCCTTTCAACTCGCCTTTCCCTTCTTACTTACAAAAGCTTTGTTTCCATTTGCCCTACTTTTTAAAAACTTTCTTTAAAAAAAAAATGCTAGTAATTCAGGTTTCAAATTTTCCAGTTGATCCTGCTCACATAATAATCAATTCAGGTAAACAGTACATAAAGATAAGCTTTCTACTTACCATGTAGTTACCATAAGCATGATCAAACATTTCCAGTACTTGATTCCTAATTTTAAAAAAAACAGAAATAGAGAAAATTATATCTTACTTATTGTTTCAGAAAGTTAATTCTTTTTCATAAAAACACACCAATTTTTAAAAAAAGGAACTATTTAGTTAAAAAGGAACACAAATGTAGTGAAAAAATACACCAGTTAATACACACATTCATGAACTAACTCACAGCTGGGCCAAACTTTTACAATTCATAGCACATTATATGAAACTCACTTTATATTTTTCCCAAATAATCTGTTGAATGATGCCTGTCACAATCAAAAGAAAGGAAAATTGATGCTGAAATACAATTACCATACCTTTCAACATAATTATTTAACATATGCATTGAAAAGGAAATACTGCTAAAGAGCCCCCAAAGAAAATAACTATTAGTACCATTTATCAGTCATCCTATATGTTGTACTAAAAGAGATGGGATAATTGAAACAGGAAACAGTATTGTATCAAGCCTCTGCCTTTCTCATTGAACTGAATAAAAACACTAAAGCCTAGTACATATTTATTAATGTTTGCCATATTTTTAAAAGATATACTTTATGATATAGTTTGCTCCCTCAAATACTGTCAAAAATTTAGCTCTCTAATGAGAAATCTAAGGCACAAAAAATTTTTGTGTGTATGGTTTGGCTTATTTATTTCTTAGACTCTTCAAGGTGGTTGTTTAAAGTGGATACTTCACCAGGGATTTAGCTCACCGGCATAAGCACTTGCCAGGCATGCATAAGGTTGTGACTTCGATCTCCAGTACACAAAAAATGGATACTTCATATTCCCGTATCTTAAATTTGGAACTAAGGAATCAGTCTGTCTGTAAAACATTCTCATATTCAGGAGCTCTATGAAAATTTAAAAAGTATGTCTTTCTTTGTTTTAAATAATTTCTGTAACTTGCCTGTCAACTGTACAGTAACTGTAATTGTTTCATACTTGTTTTTAAATAAAAGCGTAACAAAACCCATATATTCCATGAAAAATAAGACTAAATGTGATTAGGTAGATCGTCCACAGCTCACAAACAGCTCACAACTGAGCAAATGCTTGCCAATTCTTTTTTTTTTTTTTTATTCTGTTTAAGAGTGTAGAGAAAAGGATGTGACATTTTCTGTTTTATCATGACATTATTTGAGCTTTCTTAAAAATTACACAGATAAACCTAGTGAATCAGAATTCAGTTTTCTAAAAATTCCCAAAGAGGAAAGCTGTCATGAAATTGTGTATTTGTGGTTTGTGCTAGACTTTTTGGTCTTATTCTACAGTAGGGCAATCTAAATTAGTAAGCCTAAATAATTGTAATTTCTCATTTGCAAACTGATCTCAAAATATAAGCTGGAAAAAAAAATGTTATCTTGGGCTGGGGATTTAGCTCAGTGGCATAAGCGCCTGCCTTGCAAGTGTGTGGTCGTGAGTTCGATCCCTGGTACCAATTAAAAGAAATATATATATATATATTTATATATATATATATATATATATATATATATATATAAAAGCTGAAATCTCAGGTCAATTTGGTTTGGTTTTTCCAGTTAAAAACTAATTCTATCATGGATGTGGTCTGTAATTTGAGGCCTCTGGAAAGCTGGTATTTCTCCTCCAGCTCTTAAGAAATGCAGCACAGTGCAAAAGTATAGACTATCCTAAGTTTGATAAATGACTCAATCAATTACTGGCTTTGTGATTCCCAACAAATCAACTTTAAATTCCATACTTTTGCAAAATGGATATTCCACACATCCAATGAACAGGGAGGATTACAAAGGTGATGAAATACTACTTTACCTGTGTTCGTAAAGTACCAGAGTGGGGTAAATAGGAAAAAAAAAAAAAAAAAAAGATACACTGAATTCATAAGAGAGCATTTAGGATATATATTGGAGCTTACTGGTAATTGTTCTCATAACACTTCACCTTCCATTAAGCATCTTTTTTTCACAATTTTACTTAAAAGTTAATACAAAGATTCTTGCAATGATTTAAAGAAGTGTATTAACTAGGTATGGTGGTACACACCTGTCATTCCAGCCCTCAGAAGGCTGAGGATTACTGTGAGTTTGAAGCCAGCCTGAGCTACATAGTGAATTCAAGACCAGCCTGAACTACACAGTGAGACCTTGTCTCAAACAAAAGGATTTAAAGAAGCATGTAGGGGCTGGGGGTTTAGCTCAGCGGCATAAGCACCTGCCTTGCAAGCAGGCGGTTGTGAGTTCAATCCCCGGTACCGATAAAAATGAAAAAGACAAAAAAAAAAAAAAAAAGAAAAAAAAAAAAGAAGCATATAAATTAAAATCTGATTGTTCTGTTTCCCTTTCATCCTAATACTATGACATACATTATCTTTCTACTTTTTTCTAAGCTTAGACAATGTTTTTTTCTTTACAAAGAAACAACATGATATAATGCCATGTATATTATTCTTGAACTTGTGGGGGTTGTCTTCGAAATATACTCTAGGTAGTATTCTTCTAATGACATATGGAGGTCTTAATGTGTAAATTAATAGTCTATAAAAAGGATATACCACATTCAACCATTACTCTCCTAGGAATAGTTCTGTTCTCTCAAAATGCACACCTTTGTACATCTATCTCTACATTAACAGTGCTTGTGTTTGTTGGGTAGATTCCCAGAGATACAACTGATAAATCAAAAAATATGTGCGATTTAAGTTTTAGGAGATACTGTCAAGAAATTACATCCATTTGCATTCCCAGCAAGTTTTATTTTCATGTTTTAAGTAGCCAAGACCGTATACCTGAGTTTTGCATTTATTAACCTCATGGGCAAAAACAGTTATCTCATTTTAATTTGCATTTCTCACACTGACGTGGTTGAGTAACTTTTCGTGTTTATCTAATTTTCTCTTCTCCATCTTAACTGCTCACGCTCTTTACCCACTTGCTACAGATTCTCAGCTTTTATTCCTTTCTGGGGCCTCGTGCGTATTAGTATTATTGACTCTGAATTAAATACTGTAAATATAAAACTTTTATGACGCTCTCAAGACTGTTAAAACTACTGTAAAGTAAGCAGAACATTCAATTATGGGTTTTGAATAATATCATCAAATACTATGGAAAAGCAGTGCAAGGAAAACAATGCAAGGAAAGGATAAAATTTGTAAAGTTCCAGTTCTAATGAACGCCTCTGTTCCCTATTAAGTGTAAACACCACTTCCATAACAAGTGAGGCCAGCAACATTTCTCCATCTGGCAGCTTACATACGCGAGAAATCTAACCATGCCTCGGTCGGAAAGGCAACCGCTAGACTTTCGCGCGTGGCTACACTTCCTGTAGCCCTCTTCAGGGGCCACTCACTTGACAGCAGCGTTGACACACCAGGGTGGCCTCAAGGAACTCGCACCTGTCATCCACCTACAGAGCCACACAGTGACAGACTCTCACCTTCCCGGACCCTGCCCACCCGCCGAGATCCTCTCTCAGGCTCACTAGCAGCTGTTCCAATCGCGAGTGGAGACGCCACTGCGTTCCTAGGTTGCAATGACAGGCACCTTGCCCGTGGTCAGTTTTACCAGGAAGCCCACCCAGACCGCCAAGCACCCTTACCCGAGCTTCTGTTTCTCCTCCCTACTCATGGGTGTGGCCCCTGCCGTCCACACAGACGTGGCCGACACCAGGTAGAGCGCGGCCGTCGCGGCCACCAGGCTCCATGGCCCTCGCTGGGGAACCGGGGACCCACAGCCCAGGCCGCCGCCGGCTTCGCTCATGGCCCCGCGGTTCCACGCACGCGCGACTGCTAAGCCCGGTCGACGGGACACATTGCCGGACACCGGCGGCGAGGGGGCTGCAAGCCGTGACGAGACCTGGGTGTGCAGTGAGGCGCGCAGCTGCCAGCGTCAAACTGTTTGCCGAAGTCACCGAGCCGGTCCCCAGCGCCAGCGCTGCCACCGCCCTCCGCCCTCGGCAACCCCGAGCGCCTCCCCCAGCTTTCCGGTGTCGTAGTCTAGGAAACCGCCTCCCCCAACGCTACTTCCGGGCAGAGCCCGAGTCGTGGAGCCCCGGGACCAATGGAGGCCGCATAGAAGAGGGGCAGGCCCGGCCGCGGGCGACTGCACTGGCCGGGAGACTCCAGGCGTAGGTAGAAGGCGGGACGGGGCGGGCCTGTCGCGTCAACTCTCCTCAGCCCCGCGGAGAGGCCGCCCGCCCGGGGACTACGAGTCCCAGCGTACCCTGCTGGGAAGCTCCCGGCGTCCCCGCAGGCGCTCGCAGCCTCCGCGCTGCATTTCCGCCCTGGGTGGCGCGCGGCGTCTTGGCGCGCGTGGTCGCCTGAGAACCGCGGGTGCTTCCGGGCGCTCCCCTTTTCTTGGCGCCCAGCTGCTGTCGGCGGCCCGCGAGCCGCCCTGTCAACTGCTTGTCTCTTTTCCTGCGGATGTTTCCCTGCGGGGGATGAGAGCATTGTCTCGTGTGGGTGCGGAGTGTCTTAGGCCGCGGCGTTGAGTGGTGCTCTGGCCTCGGGGAAGTTAGGAAACACGAAAACCTTTGGTGTTATTGTGCCGAGAGTTTTATTTGCAAGCCGATCGTCTCTATCAGGTAAGTACTGCCCCAGCCCTCAGCTTGTGAGGACAGTACATCTTAGAGAAGTTGGTTAACAAGCTCGCGTCCACGCTGTTGGATTGCGTTCAACCAGCCTCTGATTTGGCAGCCCTTGAATACAAATCGATGAGCCGCAGACGTGATGGCGGCCGGGTGAGGTCTGGGACTTGAGTAGTAGTAGTTACCTAAAAAGCTCAGGAACCGTACAGGCGGGGAAAGAAAGAAAGAAGGAAAGGAGGGAGGAAGGGAGGAAGGAAGGAAGGAAGGAAGGGAAGAAAGAGAAAAAGTCGGGGAAGGAAATTGGAATTTGAAGTTTGTGATGACCGATTCCCAGGTTAACCATTGATAAAATAATTAATAGTTTCTCTTTAGAAAGACACTTTGCTCTTCTGTTGTGGTAACTCAAGAAAGCATTATAGCTTGATTTGGCCACATTATTTCAGTTTATCCTTTGTTTTTTCTTTTTGTTTTTTAAGATTTGAGGTATGGCAAGCAGTCCTCCCAATCCGGTGACTCATTGGCAACCAGGTGGGCTGGCTGGCCATTTTATTAAGTCCTTTATCTATGATTGGCTTCACCTATTAGTCCCTTATGTCAGATTGATTTTAGTTTCAAGGTATCCCTTCACTTTCTCCCAGTTACCTGTGTTTTAGTTGAGTTTCTCTGAGTAGCTCTGAATGAGGCTCCTCCTCTATTCAGCAATGTTGTCTCCTCCCCACATGTCTTCTAGGGACTGAAAGGGGACACTTTATGAAAAAAGTACTCTATGAATATTATGGACTGACTCCCTTTGTAACTAACTTACCCAAATTCCAAGAAAAGAGTTAGGATTTCAGATAATGTACTATCCCACAAAAATGTCCCCAGGGCTTTTTCCACTGTTCTGTCATGATTTTAATCTTCAGAATCACTTCACCCTCAGATTATCATCTTATTTCTTGTTGACACCAGCTCAAGGGAGATTTCATAGCCATTTTCAGTTTATTTTGTGTATCAGAAGCAAAACCAACTCCATGATCTTTCTCTGGCCCTCTGTCTTCAATCCTTATTTTGTATCACCAGTGTAGTTCCCACTTAATGGTTCAGTGTTACCACAGAGTTTTAAGTCAGCACCTTTTTATAACATCCCACATAGGAGTAATACAGGCCAAGAATAGTGGCACTGAGCTAACTCTGCTACCTAAAAGCTGTGTACACTTAAACTAATTACTAAATTAGTGCTTCTACTAACTACTAAATTTGTGCTTCAGTCTCATGTGCGAAATTCGTAGCATTTTTAGGAAAATTAAATGGTTTCACTGTTAATTATACCATCCACAAGTATCTTGGTATCATCCACAAGGTAATGACATATGTGTAAGATATTTAGAACATTTTAAAATAGCTCAATAAATAGTATTGATATCATTGTTTAGGGTTAGAAAGGAAAAGTTGCCATGATTAATGGTAGGATTCAAGGGTAGATACATCTGCTCCACAGTATCCATATCCCTGGTTTATCTCAGCCCCAGATCTTGTCCACTTCCTTGATTTGCTGACTTCACGCTGTCACTGCAGAATCCCTGTACAAAATACATGGCCCTCTTACTTGTAACTCAAGAAAGCATTAAACTCTCAGTTTCTGCTACAGAGACTTTGTATGGGATTATACAGCTTCATTCCTGTCTTGGAGTAAATATGTATACAAGCACATGGTACTTTTCTGCCTTTTAAAAAATGGCCTCATCTGTGAGACATTTGTAGTTGTATAGCTTGTGGGACACAGTTGGAAGAAAATCTTGTCAGCTTCTTGTTTGGATTTTTGTACAGAAGTATATCCTATCTCTATTGGATTTAGAAAAATAGTATGCCTAAGAATTAAAAATAGCTATTTATATAGTAATCCCAACATCACTTATTTCTTGTTATCCAAATTCAATGTTCTTACTTCCTAGAAACTCCCTTTGTATATGTATATACATGGTGTGTGTGTGTATAAACTGGTATATAATACGACTTTTTAAGTTTCCTTCCTCTTGTGTCATAGTCATTAGCAGAAGGTTCTAAATTTGTCAAACCTCATCTTTCATTAACCTGAGAGATACACTTTCTACTGAGATGAAAGTTTACCCTGATTAATGTGTTTTGAAATCTTGTTGTTGTTTTTTTCTTTTATATCCTTGAAATAAAATGGGTAAGGGGGAGCTTATTGTCCTTAACTGTTTGAATTCCTAGACTCCTCTAACTTTTATATTTATATAATGTTTTCTGTTTTTTTTCTCTAAATGTATTCAAAAGTTTAGTATTTTTGTTTTTCACAAAGCAGGATTTTTAGTATTTTCAATGATAATCCTGGTTAGGGAAAATTTGTCACGGTTTAAGAAATAGCATAAATATTTCTTCCTCTTTTTTTTTTTTTTCCTGCAGATTTATCTCTTTGTGATGTTTTAAAATCAAGGCATAACCTCCAATTACACGATTATACTTAAAACTTTTGAGAGATGTGGTTTTGAGTAGCACTTCCCTCTTAAACTTCACCATGTTTTTCTTGGGATCAGCCAGTGAGGTAAGTGTAGTCATTTTGAACATGAAATGTACTATTTCTAGTCCACCGCTAAAGATTAATGGACTTCATTACTATTTATAGAATTTAGCTCTAAACTATATTTTCAGCATCTTCCTAGCCCTTCTCTCAGGGGTTACATCCAATTTTAACATCCTGTTTGGGTTATGAGGATTCTCTACCTTAGTGTCTGATTTTTTCCTGTTTTTTTTCTTCCATGTCACTTCACATCATTTCCTTCTATTGGGTATGTGTGAGCATACTTTATATCTAATGCCAAGTATCATACTTTGAAAAAGATGGGTTATGCCCTAGCCCTAGATCTGCCATTAGAATATACAAGTCAGTTTCTCTAAAATCCTGTTTATAGTTTTGTTTTTACCAATTTATATGACACACACCTATAATCCCAGCACTCTGAGGCTGAGGTAAGATTGAAATTTCAAGCCCAGGGTGGGCAACTCAGTGATTTAGTGAGACCTTGTGTCAAAATATAAAAGGGCTAGGGATGTGGCTCAGGGCAGAGGCTTTGGTTTCAATCTTCATTACAACCAAAGGAAAAAAATTCTCTCTCCTTCCCCCCTGCCATAATGTGAGTTCTTGGGCTGAAGATTTAGCTCAGCAGCACAAGCGCTTGCCAAAGTCATGAGTTTGATTCTCTGATACCAAAAAAAAGGTTCTCTACCATGTCCCTCTGCCATGCCATACTACCTTGAAGCCAGCCAACTGTGGACTGAAATCTCTACAAACTATCCTAAACTAGATCTGAAAATCCCAAGGGACACAGGTAGAAAAGCCCCAAGAAAAGACTGTCTTATCTTTTAAAAGAAACTGAAAAAGAGCAGCCATGCAAGACTGAAAACTTTTAATACAGTAATCATTCCATTCCGGCCAAACACATACACATACAGCCCCATGACCCTCCCTCCATGCTTCTCCTTGCTATCAAGGCTGATTGAAACTCACATGAACCTCCATCTTGGCCAGATTTGAGGGAGCTATTCCTCCCTAACCTCTACACCTGGGAGATATAGAAGGCAGAATGAATCATCTCTGTTGGTGGTAATAAGCACCTCTTTCCAAGTGGTGTTATCTGAGACCAAACTGGAACCTAGAGCTCCAGCTCCACTGGTGGTAAAAAAGCATTTGTCCTTTTCCTTACTGGGAAGTATGAGATGAGGCTTAATAGAGTAAAGACTTTGATAACCTCTTGTTTCCCGCCCCGCATTGGCCAGGGTGGACTCCAACAGAGACCCAATAGAGAGCCATCTGTCCCCTCCTCCTTCCCCCAGTGTCTTGTGAAGGTGAACAGAGAAACTGGACTTCCACACCACCTGAAAGTAATGAAGTGCTAACTCCATGCACTAGCTTACTGTCAGAGGAGGATCAAAATCAAGATTTAAACAAGGCTCTGAGTCTAATATAAAATACCTGTGTTCCAGTTGAAAATCATTTGCCATACCAAGAACAGGAAGATGTGAAACTAAATGGAACAATGAGCAGATGCTAACATTGAGGAAACATTGAATTATCTGACAAGAATTGTAAAGCACTAATAAAAATTCTTCACAAAATTAAAGACCTTTGAAAGAAGTAAAAAATATAAAGCCTTGGCAAGGAAATGGGAAGTCTTGAAATAAATAATTACCATCAAATGAAAAAAGTCAAAATTGAAATATCTGGTGAATAGGTGCATAGCTAAACACACAACAATGGAAAGAATCAGTCAGTTTGCCAATACAGCAATAGAAACTATCCAGCCTCAACAATAGGAAGTAAGTTCCCTAGATAGATGAACGAGCCAGTGTTGTGGCTGGGGCCTTGAAGGGGTGCTTTGGTAGATGAGATCTGCAAAAATAAGAATGCATGCAGGGCAGACATCAGTTTCAAAGGAAGGAAGCAGCAAGAAAGCAGCTTGTGTCTTTATTGTTGTTATTACTTATTTACATTCTTGCATGTTGGCTGAACTAGTTGCATAGTTGTCTACTGCTAAGTCATCCTTGTATAACTGTTCTCCAGTCTGCACCTGTGCTAGGCAGGCAGCAGTGTTGTGTCCTCAAAGCTGGCCAGAGATATGCACATCTGCCCTCTGAACTGAAACAGTCCTGTCTGGAGTGGTGCCGCACAGCTGGGTATGGTAGTACATACCTGTGATCCCATATACTTAGGAAGCCAAGGCAGAATTGACAGTTCAGGCCCAACCTGGGCAACTTAGCAGGGCCTTGGTTTTTGGTTTTTGGTTTTTTTGTTTTGTTTTAATTAATAGAGCTGTAGAGACTGATAGGACCATTTTTTTAAAAAAATTCACTTTTGTGTCATTAGAGTCCCAGAAGCAGAGAGAGGGTGAACTGAAAAGTTTTTGAAGAAATAATGGCTAAAACTTTCCAAAAATTGGCAAAAATCATATACTTAAAAATGGAAAAAGTGTAATAAACCTCAAACAGTATAAACACAGATAAATTCATGTTAATACAAACCACGGTCAGACTTCTGAAAAATAAACACAAAATCTTAAAAGAAACTACTCAGAAATGACAGTTTACCTACAGGGAAAGATAATCTCAATGACAGTATTTTTCTGAAACCATGATGACCAGAAGAAAGTAACAAAGCATTTCAAGTACTAAAAAGAACAGTCTGCATTCAGCTTTAAAAATGTCTTGCATGAATGAAGAGGAAGTGAAGACATTTTAACAGGGACTTTAAAACATGCTTTTGCTGAAGGTGCTGATTGTATTTTGGCCTCTAGATAACTGATGGATAACTATAAAAGATAGATTTGACATTTCTGCCTTATTGTTTGTGATTGCTTTCTATCTTAAACTTGGGGTCAGATTCCTGCCCAACTCTGCATATAGACATAGTAATCATCTAAGAAAGGCTCATCTAAAATTGATAATACAATTTGATTAGCTCTAACTTTATCCAGTCTTTTTATTGTCCTTCCACACTGAAGGCACCAAGATAAAAGTACAATTATTTTCAGGATTTACATGGACATTATAATCAACAGATTATCAACCACCAGCTTTTTACTTTTGTGGGAGTAGTTTTGGTTTTGGTTTTGATTGGTTGGTTAGTTGGTTTGTTAGTACTTAATGGTACTGGGGATTGAACCTAGTGCCTTTGCACTGAGTACCCCTTTCTATTTTTAATTTTGAAACACAGTCTTGCTAAATCACCGAATTGCCCATGATGGGCTTGAATTTGCAATCCTCCTGCCTCAGCCTCCCAGAGTTCTGGGATTACGTGTATATACCATCATGCCCAGCAGCCCACTAGTTTTTACATCCTATTTCAGACCTCTAGAATGGTGCCTAAAAGTTTCCAATCACTGCCCTAAACCTGAAGAGGACCCTGTCACTGACCCAACTGACTATTTTTCTTTTCTGACTTGTTTTCTCTGATACACTTGCCTTCCAACTTTATCTCAAACCTAGATATAGTTCCTAGAGAACTATAAACCTTGCAGGTAATCATCTTCCCTGGCACTAGCATGACCCTGTAGAAATAGACTTGAGATAGTGATCCACTAAACCCCCGTTTGACTAATACCTGACTCTATACTTTATATCTACTATAGTTCTTCCACTATATAATCGTGGAGTGACTATCAATGCCTTGAACGCAGTTTTCTTAGGAAATCAATAGACTACTGGAATTTGGCATACTGTACCAAAAATACTCAGTTTCTTTTCCACAAAATAATAAATAAATAAGTAAAACTTTTTAAAAAAGACCAGAGTTTCCACATGAGTTTAAAAGGGAAATAACTATTAGTCGTTTCTTTTTAGTTATATTATAAAAGATGAATGAAAATTATCCCTTAGCCACTTCATAACAAGTTAACAAATCAATCTTGTGCTAATTTTTGTTGCATGTTTATTAAACATTTGTTAGCAAGTACAGACAAAGTAATTTAGCTCACCTATTCTGAATTTGATTAAATCTCAACTCTGTCCTTTCAGATTCTTCAACCATAACCTTTCATGAAAGATTGGAGCAAATAGAACAATATTTCAGAGCCAGGATTTTGTACCTTTACAGTAAGCATCAGCCAACTGGAAGTCCTCCAGCCATATACCATTCGTAATAGTCCAGCTCTTTGCTTCTTATTCATGAGAGAGTAGGAGAGTCTCTAAAATACTTTAGTCTTTCCACATATCTTGGGAATCAGTACTATTGTCAGTGAAAATCCAGCATTTGAATCCTAAGGCAGCATTTAAACTCTGCAAGTTTCAGGGCCTAAGAGGATATAATAACATTTATAGTAATTTGCCTCAAAAGAGGGTTAAGAGTGCTCAGGCACAAAGTAAAACTTCAAAAATTATGAATACTTTTCAAATCAGTCCCTCATCTTGCAAAGTAAAACAGAAACCAAGTGACTCAAAGACCATCTTGAAACAAAATCCAGTAGAACCTCATGAATATGTAGACGATCAAGTTGAAGACTCTCTGCAGATGGCACTGCAATACTTTGAGAAAGGTCCCATTAAAATTCCATCCAGAAAAGATAAAATTTTGGAAAAACACTTGAAAACGGTGGAAAATGTGGCTTGGAAAAGTGGATTAGCTCCAGAAGCAATTGACATTTTATTGAATGTGGCACTCAGTGGCAAATTTGGAAATACTGTAAACACACGGATATTGAAGTGTATGATTCCAACAACTTCAATATCAGAAGATTCTGTGGTTAAGGCAGTCTCCTGGCTCTGTGTTAGCAAGTGTTCTGGTAGCACCAAGATACTTTTTTATCGTTGGTTGGTTGCAATGTTTGACTTCATTGATCATAAGGAACAAATTAACCTGCTTTATGGCTTCTTTTTTGCTTCATTGCAAGATGATGCACTGTGTCCTTATGTCTGCCACTTGTTATATTTACTCACCAAAAAAGAAAATGTCAAACCATTTCGTGTGAGAAAGCTGCTTGATCTTCAGGCCAGGATGGGACAGCAACCACATCTTCAGGCTTTGCTGTCACTGTATAAGCTCTTTGCTCCTACTTTGATTTCTGTATCTTTGCCTGTAAGGAAGAAAATCTACTTTAAGAATTCAAAAGATCTGTGGAATTCAGCTGTGCTTGCTGTGAAGCTTAGAAACCAGCATTCTTTTACAGAACCTAGAAAACTGACATTCAGTCCAGCTAATTTCAATCCTTTAAAAAGAAAATGGAAATCTCGTTCAGTTACACCAGTGCTGAATTCTGGTAGCTACCCTAAAGAATGTGGCAAAAAGGAGATGAGTCTTTCTAATTGTCTCAGTTGTGATAGATCACTTCCCCTAGAAAGGCTTCAGAGCTTCCCTCTACTCTTAAAAAACATTCATTGCTTAGAGCTGCCCTCTCAGATGGGTTCAGTGCTAAATAACTCTCTTCTACTTCACTATGTTAACTGTGTCAGAGATGAATCACTCTTACTGAGGCTGTACCACTGGTTGAATCAGACATTACAAGAAGAATGTATTTGGTATAAAGTGAATAGTTATGAGCAGAGTAAAGAGTTTGCCAACTTGCTGGACACCATCATCAGGGCAGAGTGCTTCTTACAGGAGGGGTTTTATTCCTGTGAAGTTTTCTTGTATAAAAGCATTCCTCTCTGGGATGGCCTCTGTTGTCGGTCACAGTTCCTTCAGCTTCTGAGCTGGATTCCTGTTAGTAGCTTCTCTGAGATGAAACCGCTACTTTTTGACCATCTAGCACAGCTTTTCTTTACATCAACCATTTATTTCAAGTGTAGTGTTCTTCAGAGTCTGAAAGAGCTACTACAGAATTGGCTGTTGTGGCTTTCTGCGGACATCCACATGAAGCCTGTGATGAGCAGTCCTCTACAGATAACTCTGGATGCATCCATGAACTCAGTGTCTGAACTGATTCATTATGTAGGATGGCTGTCCACTATTGCATTGCGCTTGGAGAGCAACAGTACTTTCTTGCTACACTTTATTTTGGATTTCTATGAGAAAGTCTGTGATATAAATATAAAACATGATCTTCCATTAGTGGTGTTGTTTCCTCCTGGAATCTTCTATTCTTCACTTCTCAGCCTGGATACCAGTATCTTGAACCAACTTTCTTATATTATGCACAAGTATCATAAAAATTTGATTGCTGCAAAGAAGAAGGAGTTGGTACAAAAAGCAAAATCAGAGTTCAGTTTCAGCACCAAGACTTGCCAACAGTTTAATCATTATTTGACAACTATGATTGGTTGCCTGTGGACATCGAAACCCTTCGAAAAAGGAGTGTATATTATAGACTCCAAAATGTTAGAAAACACTGAAGTATCAAAGTATAAAAATAGCTTAAATTTAGTCCATCATCCTTCTCTATTGAGCTATGCTGTTTCCTTTTTGCTACAGGAAAGCTCAGAAGAAAGAACAATAAACATAAGCTCTATTCGGGAGAAGAAATGGCACTGCTACTTGGACTATTTATTTTCAGAGGGACTCCAAGGCTTGAAATTTTTCATAAAAAATAGTATTCATCATTCTTCTGTCTCTTAATCAGAAAGCATGACCACAACAATCAGCATTAAATGACAGTTGACATAAACAGCTTGCTGGACTAAATCCTTGTTGCTGGAGAGGCCAGCTAGCTCAATTTGAGTTTCCATGTCCGATTCACTAACAAGACTACTGTCTTCTAGAAGTACTCAGACTGACCTTCTGACTATGGTTCAGGAGAACCCTGGTGTGCATACCTTTATTTTTCAGGGGTTAGATTTTTTATAAAAAGACACACATACTTTGTGGTGGGATTTTGTAATATTTTTGTGTACTATAAGGTGCATTGATGGAAGACAGCAAATAATACATAGTAGTAGCTTATTCATAGATATACTCATGCAAAATATTCTACTTCCTTAGTGAAAACTATGAATATTACCATTTTTCTTACATGAACAGAACCAGCACTAAATTAATAGAATGCAGTGTTTATGATTCTTAAGAGCCTGAAGTAGCTAATGGCTTCTCAGGCCTTTAACTGGTAGCAGTTTAATGAGGAAAGGAAGGAGAAAAGAATTATGGGGATAACCAAGATATTTCTATTAATGGTGGTTTGATTCCATGGGACTGCTCTATTTTATTTGTGTGTATATATGTATGTATCTAGTTTTTAAATATTCAAGTCTTTACACTTTAACTGTATCTTTACTTGCAGAGTAATTCTGAAGCTTGGAAAAATTTTCATAGTTATCTACAATGTACTGTTTAAAATTTACTATAAAATTTTGCTTACTAACTCTTAATAAAATTCATACCTTTGAGGAAAAATGAGTAACTGTTTCTTATATCCATTATGAAGACCATTAATTTCAACAATAAAAATTCATTTTTTACTTCTTGTATAAATAGAGTGATCATTGGCATTAAGATTGCCTAATGCGACCACTAGTTGCCATCCTGGGATCTGAGTTTCTGATTAGGGCAACTGCACCTTGAATGTTGATTTAATCCATTCATAATATACTATGTTGAAGAATTCAAGCATATATACATAAACATTTATGAAGAATATGCTGTGCATTACATATTTCGATTATATACTTCCATAAGGATAATGAGAATCATTTTCTACATTTATAAAACAAGAATGAAAATTATCCTCATCCCATTATCCTTGTTTTATAGATTGTAGAAAATCAAGCTCAGAGATTTTATGTCACTATCCACAGGAAAAAATGCACCACAGTCAGGAACCCTTGTGTATTGCTGAGAGATGTCTCTGCTGGTTAAGCCTGATTGGCTTTGTGACTTCTGAGTATGGTTGATAAGACCTTAGGAGATCCTCAAGCCAATAAATTGTGGCAGTGACCTTTGAGCATGTGACTATGAACATCACAGTAGAGAATTGGGCTTTGTTGGATCTTTCCTGAAAGAAGCTTTGCACAAATGTGATGCAGGATACCTTTAGTAATCTGCTGCTGTGGGAAGAAAGTGATAGAATCAACAAGTTGAAGTTGAATGCAGAAATTCTAGGAGAAATCTAACAAGTCAAGAGATACAAAGACACTCAATATAAAATATGGATCCAGTGGGCAGAAAGCTTCAGCTCCACTCCAGGTCCTAAAGTGAATATGAAACCTCCTCGCCTAAAACTAGGAGAAAGCCTTACGTGTAGAGAAATCCCAATTAGTCTTTTATCTCTAAATATGTCCATCACAGCTCACAACTCAAAAGTATATGAATATCGGCAGTTTGGAGAGAAGTATAAATGTGAGAAACATGGGGAAATCTGCAGTTATTCCAATGCCTTGTGAAGCATACAAGGACAAATATTGCAGCAAAACCCTATGAATATAAGCAATCTGAGAAATCCTTTATTTTTTCTAATTGCAATGAAATACATAAAACACTAGAGAAACATTTGATATGTAAAAGATACAGGAAGCCTTTTGCTAAGAAAACAAAAAGGTAATTTCATAAACGTGAAAATTCACTGTTGGGAAAAACTAGTAAGCTGTGTGGGAAACCAGGAAAGCCATTTATTATAAAACTCATGAAAACAATTCACAGTGGGAAACCCTATGTGTGTCAGTAGTGTGGAAAAGGCGCTTCACAATTCAGAGACACCACAGAAATAAGACAATCCACAGTGGGAAGAAATCATATGTAAACTGGAAAAGCCTTCAATAGTTCTTATCACCTTTAAAAACAAAATAATTCACCTGGAAGGGAAACACTAATCATGAAAGCAATGTGGGAAAGCTTATACAGAGAATTCCCCTCTGAGACATGAAAAAATTCACACTGAGGAAAAACTTATGTATGTATATCAGCAATATGAGTAAGCCTTCACAGGTAAGACAAATATTTTACACATAAAGGAGTTAATGGTGGCGAAAAACTATTGTAGAAAAGGCCTTAGTTATCGCTATCTTCAAATACATGAAACTCAAACTAGAGAAAAACTGCATATGCAAATGTGGGAAACCCTTCACTTCTTTTCCCTTAATTCATGAGCTCAACTGGAGAGAAACCTTACATATGTAAGCAGTGTGAGAAAGCCTATGCTCATCATGCTTGCTTCCAGAGACGTGTCACGCTGGAGAAACACTGTATATCAAGAATGTGGAAAAGCTTCACTAATTACTGTTCACTTCATAGACCTGAAAGAATTCACAGTGGGGAAGATCCTATATGTAAACTACATAGGAAAGCCTTTACTTGGTTACTTTCATAAATGTGAAAGAAGTCATCGTCGGGAGGAACCCTCATGGAAGCAATGTGGAGAAGTTTTCAATTCTTCCAGTTGCGTTCAAATACATGAAAACGTTTGCGTTGAAGAAGAACCGTATGTATGTAAGCACTGTGGGAAAGTTTTTGGTCAGTTTGGTATCTTAAGAGACATGAAACTGGAAAGTATAAATAAATATGGGACATGTTCTTTATCACAGGACATTTCTCTACATATCAATTTGCACAGTGGACACAACAATGGACATTTTATGGGAATGCTTCTAATTTTTGTTTCATTCATCTTGCACATGAACACAGTATGATGGGAAACCTTCACTAGATGTATAAAAGATTTAAGTTGGCTATAGATAACAGTGCATATGGGATCAAACCTTTATGAATGAACTATAAAGAAAGTTCTCAGTTGTAATTTCAAAATTCTGTGAAGATTCTTTATGTAGTATAAGCCCATAGAAGTAATATGAAGAGCTTCGTGCAATTCTTTGTAAAATAATTTAAAAAGTACACTACATGAATAGCAAGTCCTAATGTATACAGTAGTGTTTATTAGTAATGCATTCTTAAATAAGTACATTGCTGGATAATGTGTTTCTAATGTTCGCTTTTGAAAATGTTGAGGTGACAATTCTGTATTTTTGTGTAATAGTGTGTCAATTTAATCATTGTTTAAATCAAATTAGCAGTAAAAGTTTTTTAATTTTGTACCATATTAGATCCATAGGTCAATTAAAATGTTTCTAATAAGCTAGTAGGCTTAGTATTTTAAGTTTTATTATCAGGGTGAATGGGCTACTGAAAAAAATTCTGTTAATTTTAAGAATTTTCCCACTAACCTGATGAGTTCTGTGTGTATGTGTGTGTACTCCATCTTTCTTTCAGTGGAACATAGGACATTTTAAAAGTGGATTTTATATTTTTTAATTATGTATGTTTTTAAAGAAAATTTTTGTACACATACACATGCTTTCAAACAACTTGTTGATTAACAAATGTTACCTTTTCATGTACTAGGAAGATATGTGTAGATATCCCATCATAATTGTAGATTTGGTAAATTTATAAACTTTCGTGTTCTTTTTTACTGAAGGTTATTTTGATAATATTCATTCAAATTTAGGTGTTTCGGGGCTGGGGATTTAGCTCAGTGCCATAAGCGCGTGCCTTGCAAGCAAGCAGTCGTGAGTTCGATCCCTGGACCGATAAAAAGGAAAAAGACAAAAAAAAAGAAATTTAGATGTTTCTTTAAGCATAAATTACTTTCTGTACTCATGTTGCACTTTTTATGCTTATTTGTTCTTCCCTCATTATACTAAAAATACGCTGATATTATTGTCCCATTGTAAAAAAAAGTTATAATTTAGTAAAAATCTAGACCACTTTTTCTGTACTACATGTCTATATATTCTGATTTACCTATGACAGTTTTCATTTACATCATTGTCCTGGTATTATGGCAGAGAGGTGCCTCCTTTCATTTTAAAACGTGTCCAAATTTAACAGTAATATGATCATTCGAACCTTATAACATTGCATCCAGTATTCAATGATCTCCATCCCCCAACTCTATCAGGCTATATCAGATGTGTAAAAAACCACAGCAAGTATACCTGGTCCAACTTCTGTCCTTGTATGAGTTTGAATGGAAGGGAATGAGTTTGGATGTATGCCTAAATTAAAATTTTAATTGGTGTAATTTAGGCATACAAACTAGAGCAAGTAAATTCTTGCTAGTAAAAAATACAACTCTCTGTAACTGAGAAAGATGTAATAGGGCTGCCATCAATACTGTCCCATGCATAACCAGCACAAGCAGGAAGGAGCAGCAGCCAGCCCCGCCCCTAAAAACATGCTGGTCACCATTGCCTTCAAGGAACTGTGACCAGCATGAGCTTGAAGAACCAGCTAGCCATGCCTTGGAGAAAGCCCTCCTCATAGCCCACCATTTCCACGGGGAACCAGGGTTAGGAGAAACTCAGATGCCTAACCCATCCCCCACACCATGGATGGGTAACTGATGGTCAACTCAACACCAGCTGAATTAAATCACTATGGTGCTAAGCATAGATGTTTCACCTGAGGAAAGTTGCCAGCATAAATAAAGACATGGAGGAGAAGAAGCTAGATGTTGAGGCACTGAGACATTGTGGGTTCTCCTACAAGTTGCTGTTCGAGCCATTGATTCTCTTGGAGAAGCTCAGGTCCTTACATCGAGCATTGCTTCCTGGCTCCAGAAGGGAAGACATGTGCCACTTGGTTTCCAGGATGAACTCATCACACTGGCTGCCAGGCATGTACTCAACTGGTTAATCATCAAAGGAGCTTGGGGCCTCCATGTCACTGAGGATGGCTGTGGTGCTTTTCAGGACAGCCCTGGTCTTTGTTGTGAGTGATTTCTCGGCTCCAACATAGAACCCTCAACCTGCTAGCATAGTTCCTTCACACTGCTGGCATTGACTTTCTAACTTCCACTGCTGACCTTTGGGCCTTCCTAGCACAGATCTGTAAAAGAGACTGATGTGAGTCCTTGTGGGTTCTAGACCTCCAGTTGGACTCATGGGAGTCATTGTCATGAGCTCTGGGTCTTCATCTGGACTCATGTGAGGCATTGCTATAGGGTTCAGGCCCTTGGCTATATATGTATATAATGTAAGTAGATTTCCTGCATTTTCTTATGTTAACTCTGGGTGACCATCATAAAAATAATGTTACAAACTCCATGTCCTGATTTTAATTGTTCTCACAACCCCTGGCTACAACAGTAGCCAATGCAATAAGCACCTGGAACCCCACAACTCACTTGTCTGAAGGAAACAAAGGAAAATGTCAAGATGAGCAAAAGGCAATCTGTGGCCTGAAGCCCAAACAGAACAAGCCCAGGAGACATGGACATGAAAGAAAGTAAAAATTGCACACCTGAAGTTTCTGGGATGATGGCTACTGACATAAAGAAACTACTTCATGAAGCTGTAAAAGAAATAAGATCAGATATAATATCGCAGGTAAAAGAAATGACAAACAGTAAAAGCATTCCTGAGCATATCTAAAGAAGTTACAGATTAAAGAAGCACAGGAGCAATATAGAGAAGAATTGGAATGCATGAAACAGACACAAAGAGATAGCCAGGAAATTAAAAATTCCATTGAAAGCTGGGAAAACCACTTGAAAGAAACTGAAGATAGACTTTCAGATCTTGAAGACAGGATTGAAGCTAGTGATCATGAAAGGAAAGACTTCTTTAAAATGAAATATCCAGGAAGGATCCAGGACATATAATGGCTGCAAGATGACACAAAGAAAAATAATTTAAGAGTGATAAATTTCAGCAAAAAAAGCAAGAGTCAACATAAATAATATAAAGAGATTGTTTATGGAAATAATAGCAGAAAACCAAAGAACCTGACAGATAAGTGAGGCATATAGAACTTCAGATAGCCACAATCAAAGTAAATCTACACCCACACAGATAATAATCAAGATCCCAGAAATTCAGCACAAAAAAAAGAATATCACAGCCTGTTAGAGAAAAAGAAACATCACCTATAAAGGAAAACCCATCAGAATGATGACAGACTTCTCAACACAAGGCATCAAGTTAAGAAGAGCTTGGAGTAAAGTATTTTTAAGTCCTGAAAGAAAATAGCTTCTAACCCTAATTGATGTATCCTGCAAAACACTCTCAAAATTAATGGAGAAATAGAACAACTGAAGGAACCTATGATCACCAAAACTTACAAAGAGTACTAAAGAATATTCTAGAGAGAGAAAAATGACTACAGTCCCAGAAACAGCAGCAGTGTGTGATCGCCAAGCAGGGCAGACAATTGAATGCAGGGGAAAGTAGGGAGCCAACATCAGCAAAAAGCATGTAAAAGACACACCAGTACATGTTGGCCATAACCATTAATGTAGATGTCCTTAATTCACCAATAAAAACCACAGGCAGAGTAGATCAAGAAACAAGGTTTAGCAAAATGCAGTATACAAGGAACACACTGACTGGAAAGGAAATTAATAGACTGAAAGTCAAAGGGGAGAAAACAATGCTGCATGCAACAAGGAACCAGAAGAAAGCAGGGGTAGCTTGCCTAACAACCACAGAATGGATAAGACACAGCATTTTTGTACAGTGGAAAGCTACTCAGTTATAAAGAAAGATAATCATAAGGCTTTTGGAGGTAAATGGATGTAACTTGTGATCATGCTCTTGGATGAAATGATTCAGACTCAACATAGGTGAACATTATGTTGTCTCCCTAGTATAAAAAACTGAAGGAATTAGTGGGATCCAAAATGTACAATAGATACTGTGGAAGTGAAAGGGTAGGAAACTAAAAGGGGAAAGTGGTAGCCATTGTTAATTCCTGCTTACCTTATTGTAAAGTACTGAATCATTTTCATTGTTTTGTTTTGATTGGTTTTATTGTTTTGTTTGATTTATTTTACTTGATGGCATGGGCTGCTGTTTCGAAGATGGCAAGATCTATTATGGTAGCCATTGTTGATTTCCTATTATCTTGTTTTGGAGTCCTGTATCACTTTCATTATTTTATTTTAATTGGTTTTAATCTGTTCTGTTTTGTTTGATTTTGTGTCTGATGGTATGGGCAGCTATTTTGAAGATAACAAGAAGTATTATGGTAGCCATTGTTGGTTTCCTATTATCTTGTTTTGTTGGCTTACATCGCTTTCATTGTTTTGTTTTGATTGGCAATAAAGAATAAACTGTTTTGTTTGGTTTTATTTTCTTTTTTGAAAAGAAGATGTAATAATGAGCCACCAATCAAATGAACAGATAAGATCTATTATAAAAAGTGAAGATTTTTAGAAGAATAAGTTTAATATTAAAATTAAACTATATGACATGGTTTATGTTTGTGTCCCCCAGGCCTCATGAGTTTGCATTGTTCATACGTGATGGTTCATTGTATAGTGCTTGGATTGATGGTGTCAGTGCTCCACCCACATAGGGGTGGAGCCAGGATGTGATGTAATGGCAGGAAGAAGGTGTGTTTTTCTCTTTGCTGGTTCGAGTTTGCTGTTGCCGGCTGCCATGAACTGCAGCCCAGCCATGCCTGCCTGTCTTGGAGCCAACTGAGTGTGACTGAAACCTCCAAAAACTGTAAGAAATAAACCTTTCCTTTCCCAACTTTGGGCTTCAGGTATTTTGTCTCAGTGACGAGCATAAAGTAACTAAGACACTATACTTTCAATCATATTTGCCCAGAAACATTCATTTTGACTAAACTTTGTGCTATTTCCATTTGTATGTAAATACCAAAGGAAGGAGTGTTTGTACTTCAGGTTTTATCACTTTGGATCTGATATACAAAGCATACTTTTGGTGTGGAAGTAGATTTTCAAATCATTTGTGCTAAATGAAGAGCACATTTCTTAGATGAATTGAAAGTTTATTCAAATCTTTCTTTTTCAGGCAAATTTAAAATTCCATATTGCTGCTAGACCTTTTCCTGAATGATAAAGATAGCTGTCTGTGGATATTAATGGGTTAAGAAATGCTGATATTTTCTCATCAGAGGGTGTACCATAGCAGAGACATGTTGCCCTATAATCCTGCAGTGAGCAAACCTCCAGAACCAAAAGTACTATTGTGTGAGACAGAGCCAGCTCTCAGCCATACATCATCCCATAACTTTGACTCCACTTATGCCAGTCTGAAACAATTGTTCTATTGTTTATCACTGCTGGCCTTCTAATATTGACTATCTTTGGAGCTTCTGTACCAAGTTGATATTTTTTTCCCTCTGATATGGCCTGAGATCTTCCCAGAAATGTGCTTTCAACAACATATGGAAGCAGTGACAGAATTAAAATATTTGAAAAGACCAAAAAGGCTAGCTAAGACAACTGGGATGGATTATAGTCATTTTTTGTGCCTGGTACCTCAGATTAGATTAGATTCTTTTTTTTTTTATTTTTCTTTAAATTTCAGGAAGGGGTGGTGATAGTAATGGTGGTGGTTTTGGAAGGAGGGCCAAGGAAGAACGGGAAAAAGAAGCAACCACACTGAGTAAGGAATTCTAAACAAGATACAGCATTCTGTGTGGAACTTATTTCTATTATGGATCTTTATAATAAATATCCCTTCTAAGGACTGAGAAATATAAAACATTTTCCAGTAAAATTGTTTCTCACAGATTTAATATTTCTTTCAAAGGATCAAAGCACCATAAAAATTAAAAATATATACAAAAAGATTAAGGTAGACACAAGTAATCAGCTGTGGAAATAAAATTTTGAGTGTGTCCTAAGTCCATACATACTCATATAATATATAATTTAATAAATATTTATTGAGTATAGGATTGTTTTGAGATTAATGATAGAGTGGTCATCTTTATCCCTCTTTTTTAAAGAATGAAAATGCCTTTCTTTAGTAATCTAATAAACATTAGCCTCCACACTCTGTTCTATTATTATGATAGTAAAATGATGATTGTGTAATGAATTCTTTTGTGAACCTCTGAGAGGTCAATCAATTATTTAATTTTAGGATTTTATGTTCATAAAATTTTATGTTCATAAAATCCTAAAATTAGTTTCAATGTGCCTTCATGTTTCCTTGGTTTGTCACATTCTCTAGGATCCATAACTTAAAAAAATAAAAAGCAAATGCTAAGAACAAGTATGGAAAGAGAAGATCAAGGGAGAAACATTGGAGATCTCCAATGTTTAAGAGGTAGAAAAGAGTGGCCAAAAAGTTTGGATGCAACTGAGGACGGATGTTAAATAGACACTTCGTTTTAATTATTCGAGGGAAGTAGCTGTTTAATGTACCCATGTATAAAATTGTCTCTGATTATTTGGGAAACTGATTTAGTTCACCATATCAAAGAACTATGGAAAAGAATCATAAAATTCTAAGAATGAGAAAGTTTGAAAGAAGGAATACCAACAGAGGGGCTGGGGATTTAGCTCAGCGGCATAAGTGCCTGCCTTGAAAGTGCATGGTCATGAGTTCAATTCCTGGTACCGGTAAAAAAAAAAAAAAAAAAGAAAGGAATACCAACAGAACGTCCAGTGCGGCAGACACATGAAGTAAGTACAGAAAGATCCTTATCCTACTCACACATTCCTCTAGGGTGGTTTCTGTATGCAATGGATACTCAGTCAACACTGGTATAAAAAAATGAAGGCTAGTGAGAATGGAGTTAAAAATGAAATTGAAGTGATTTAATGGTTTAATTAGAGTTGCTTTTACATTAACAAACGTGAAATTCAGTAGTAGCACATTATTAGGTTATTTTATAAAATTTCTTTAACGTAGCAAAATTTCTTTAACATAACATAGCAAAAAATTTCTCTAACAAGCAAGAAAATTATCTAAGAGATAATTCAGTAAAATCAACCTCCCAAATAATTAAAAGCAGCTTTATACTCAGTTGGAAACTTCTTCCATGAAGTTATTAAAAAGATTCATGTCTCTTTATACTTTACTATCTCTCCAGCTTGAAAGGCCAATTAGTCCAGAAGCAAGTGCTTGTCACTTGGATTATATGTTTTGGAAGGTAGGATATTACCTGGTTAAATGTTTGCCATAATATTAACCCACCACTGATTTTAACATATTGCTTTGAGAACAATATAACAACTTTTTACTTATAATACTTTTAAGTTTAAAAAGGTTTCAGAAATACTTTACTATTATATCATTCAATATTAGCAATCTCCCCAAACCAAATAGTTATAGGAGTCTTTAAAAAAGTTTCCAAAGTCTTCCAAGGATTTTTCTCTGATTTTTGTATATACATACATATGTATATATGGTTTCTTGAAAAGACTGTTTTGGGCAGAGTTCAAATGATAGTGTTGGTGATGCTGTATAATAAAACAAAATGCTATAAGAGACCACAAATGCAGTAACTTATACAAAGTACAAGGTGTTTGTCTTTCAGATGCTATTCACAACCTTATGAGTGATGTCGTGATCATCCAGCAACTCCAATTCTATCAACTAAAACTCAATTCTAGAGTAGAAATAAGCTCACCAGAATCATATATTTTCTGCCTCTGTATAGTCAGAGAGGAACACAGCAACTTCTTTTTAAAAAGATGTGACTTGGAAGTTGAACATATCCTTTTACTCACATCTTATTGCAAAAGAGTTGATCAGTAGTCAGGCATAGCTACAAGATTGGAATTTTTATTCTCTAATGGAGCAACTGCATGTCCAATCTCAAACTGGCAATTCTTTAGTTAAAAAGAAGAAAAGGATAATAAACATTGGGAGAAACTTGACAGTCTGTTCCAGCCCTTACTTTTTTACCTTTATAGTGATCATTATACTTGTAGTGAAGATGCAAATACAAAATTTTGATAAAATTGGCCATAAAAATCATTTTACTTTTGATTATTTATAATCTGTCTATTGAAACTCTTATTTCTGTAAATAAATAATGGAATCTTGAAAAGGGGTTTTTAAACCTCATCATTTTGAATAAATCTTAGGGGAAACTATAATTGCAAAGATAGCCCAATTTATGACATCTTTTTTCCTCTCTATGCATAGAAATGATACGTTTTTGGAAATACTGCAAGGCAGCTTCCCTGTGAGTTCATGTATCACAGTGTGATGAGAGACCAGCTATTAAATAGTAAAAGTTATTAGTAATTATAGAACATTCTAGAAAAAAAGATAAAATAGTTAAATATAGTAAGTTTAGCTTTAAAGTGTTATGGGGCTGTTACTGTTCCTCTTTTTGAGAAGTAGAGCCTGTTAAGTTGACTTTAAAAAATAGTGGCTTGCTAAAATATTTGGTTTTTCCAAGATATGTCATGCAAGGAAGAATATGTGTGTGTGTGTGTGTGTGTGTGTGTGTGTATAAAGTCTTTTTATGTGTATATATTAAGTCTTTTTCTATTATTTCGATTTCTCTAGGATGGCTGGACGTCTTAACTTTAAAACTTTTTATGCATTTATGTAGAGATTTTTTTTTTACTCCTAGAAATCTAATGATTTCATTAATGGCATGTGCTATAACTGTGCAATCTAATACAGTAGCCATTAAACACATGTAGCTATTGAGCACCTGAAATGTTAAGTCATGAGTTCAGGCTTTAGTTCGAACAGTTTCTAGTGGTGGATATCCTGCTTTTCTTCATGATGATACTTCAAGTTATGGACTATACTGTCAGAAAGCACTTCCTTGTACTGGAAACAAATACAAGTCTTCATACAAGATTTCATACTTTGAAGTTCTAAAACTTCTTCATTTTAACATAATTAAAATAAATTCAATCCTTGCCATATGAATCTTTGTTTAATTGAATTTAAAAAGTACAAGATAGTATGTAAGAAACTGTCATCTTCCCACATTCCCCCTGCCTAAGTCCTTATTTTACCAGGGCAAACAGAACAAACCCTATTCTCTCCTGTTCAGTATCTTGTTATGACAGTATAATGTGTGATCAGAAAATTCACTCTCCTAAACCTTCAAATACAGGTTGGTGATAGATACAAAGTCATTATATAAGAGGATAATATTCATTAATGAACTGATGTCTAAAGGCCTGTACCTAAACATCACTTTGATAAGACTGTATTTAGGATACAGTAAATTCTTTCAGAAGTTATTTAAATACCAAAGAATTTGAAAGCATTATGGAGAAACAGATGATACTCTTTAAAAGATTGTTTATGATGGTATAACAAAATCTAAATCTGAATTATCATCCAATTAAACATTGAAAGTAGAGGCAGGAAAGACTC